ATGCTTAAATGTGAGAGCATGTTTAAAATTTTTAAATTAGCGAATAAAAATTCAATTCTTCTAAGGAAGAGTCGGTCATGTGCTCTCTTAATTTTGATTATTAAATAAAATCGTAGGAGTCTCAAATTGAAAACTAACGAACACCTTTTTAAAGTAGAAATTTCAATATTTAACTTAAAAGAAACATCATCCTAGAGCGATAATTTTTATCTAAGTAATTACCTTCCAAACCTGGGCAACTTTCGACAGAAATGTCATAATGCTATAATTTTTCTGAGTAGTCTATATAGATTTGAAATTGAAATAACATTCGATGAATTAAAAGAAACTGTTTCTAACAAATTACCCAATTCTTTCATTCTCAATTATCCGAGACGTCGACGATCACCTTTCTTTAATAAACAGTGTCATATTTTTATATTTACATTGTGTTAGACGTTGAAACATTCTATAATGAGGAAATAAAATATTTGAACAAATCACACACGTTCGCCATGGAATAATAATGCGGTAAAAATCGTTCCTTCCTCATTTTATTTCTTTCATTCTCGTCACAGTTTTTTTTTACAATATGTACAGTGTTTCTTTGGCTTATATAAAAAATATACACAAATTATATCTGATTTGTTTCGCTCCTTTCTATCACGAAGACGAGCTCGTATCTTTTATATCGTGCGACTGCAGGAACGTTATGATCCTGTTTAACAATTTGTGAGCTTGCTGCTTCTCGCATATTAGATGATAAATGTCCTTCTCTTCCATATCGTTGATGAAATCGATCAACGTTAGTTTTACCGAGTGCAGATCGAACACGCAATGATTAAGACCGAGTTTGTACTTGTTGAAGCTGACCACGTCGACTTTTTCCAAAGCCATGCTCAATCGACTTTTCGCTATGAACACCAGAAAATCGAAGAAGAAACCGTAATCCATCCCGTACGTGGATTTCAATATCAACTGGCACTGTTCTTGCCAGTTGACCATGTCCTTGCAGTCGCTCACCTCCTTCATCACAGAATTCAACTCCTTCTTCAAACCTCGCCACACATTCATGATATTGCAACCGTTGATCCAATTATGATTCAAAGAAATCGCATCCTCCTATAAGTAAACGTTTATTAACATCGATTCCGAGTAAAAAAAGAATTTCGGCTTGAGGCAAGACTGTGAATTTGTACCCAAAATAAAATGTTTGCGATAGTAATTTAAAAAATGTGATTTACATAGACATTTAGCTTATCATTTAAATATTCTGATATGTATTCTGCTTTCAGTATTCTGCATTTTTTTTTATACATCACGTGGAGCGTTTATAATTTCTGTACATTGAATTTTCTTATAAATGCATAAAATCCGCAGTCTAGTAATTACGGTTTTGAGGTAAGGAATTAATTTCGGTATTCATAAATCCATAGTGTTATAAAAACCGAAATTACTTCCTTGCCAATGTAAATCTTGATACTTGATTCTTCTTACAATATTTATAACTTGATGATGCCATCCTGAGGGCACGAAGATGATCTCTCCTTCCTTTTGAATGATGTCGATGAACTTCACGGCTCTCCTGTCGTACGCTTTGTATTTAGTATAGTCGTTCAACTCTTCGGACGTCGCATCGTATATCAATTGGCCATGTATGTCTCGGAGGAAGTTCTCTTGCGTCGGAGGGAACAGCAACCAACGTTTCTTGCCTACTAAGTTCGCAGACCAGCTGTACGAACCGAACACATCTGCGTGCAACGGAGTCCTATATATAAAAGCTAGTTTCTCTCATTTATACATACACAAATGTGTAATCTGTAGACTGCGGATTTTTATGCAGAATACTACGTTTATGGTAGCAATTGGAAAAATTGAATTTACGTAGAAGCTTGTTTGATTGTTTAAATCATATTTTATGCTTACTGCTTTTATATGTGGCATGCAGTCTTCACATTTCTGCACATTTAATTTTTCTATAAATGCATAATTATCCACAGTCTAGTAATCTAATGCTGTAACTACGGTGACCATTCGTTCTGTATTTCAGCAGCCTGTCTCCGAAATTTCTTTAAAAAACACGGGATGTACAAATGTTCGGTATTTAGCTTTTAGTCCCATATTTGCATACTATAAATATAAATTATGTATAAGATAAAAATGGGTCTTTTGCAACTGGATTTCTAATTTCTTCTTTTAATAATGAATTAATTAGATATTTCTACAAAGCAGTCATGTTTATTTTTAACTCTTTGTCAATTTTCGTGATTGATAAATTTTAAGATGATTTTGTTACGTCGTGAAGACTATTTTTATTTCTTGTTTCTTTTTTCGCTTTAGGCAATTCTTTTCTGCTTCTTTTCAATAAATAATTTATGAAATAATCGAATACAAGAATTTTGCTAGTTTTTATCCTCAATTTCGCTCTAAAAAATATGGTCACCGTATCTATAGTTAAGGACAAAATTAAATATACACTACTTAAAACTGAAGAACTTTTTTGAAATCCGACCAAACGATCTGAGATTTTTTGAGTAGGTGGATTAGTTTGAAAATGAAAATTCATAGAAATCATAAAGGGAAATGTGAAAATCGTGTTTTATCCTGGCTTGTAATGAAAATTAGAATACCACATTTAACTGTTTATGTGAGATTAGTATACACTGATAATTATATTATTCATATAATAATATAATTTTCAATTAATGTTATATATCGTTTATTTAAAAATTATACTTAAGACGTTGACTGCCGCGTCACCCAAGAATGGGTGACGCTTATTTGGCTACTTACAAAGGATCGTCATAGGCATTTGAAAAGATAATCTGCAGGGTGTAACAAAACTATTAAATTGTTAAAATGGTCAATTGTAGTTTCTTCGGTATGATCAGCTCTTCTTTCTTCCTCAATGATCAATTCTTGTAAAATTTCGTCAATAGTATCTTCATGACACTCAATATCACTACGACTGCACTTATCAATATCCGAATCAGAATCAGACGATTGCTACTCATCGCTACTCTCCGAATTTGTGTAAGCTTCGTAACAGCTTTCTTTTTCACTGCTATTTGTCTTACTAAGAAATAAGTTTTCCATTTTTCTTTTCGACATTGGAACGAATTAGGGCAGAGATTTTAAGTTATACCGCTAATTATTACCGTTATTTGGCAAAGATTCAAACTGATCGTGTGGGGTGGCGAGGTAATAAGTAAGGACCTCAGGTATTTAATAATGTAAACAAATGACCAAACATGATATCATGCAAACAAACGAAACGGGAAGTTCTTGCGAGTACGTTTGGTGCAGCGGCACTTGTGGCCTGAAGGAAATTTCATTGGAAACACGTGCGGCAGTCAACGTGCTAAATAAGAATCATTCTAAAGCTGTTTGGACATGTTTACCATGTGCCTTGGGGTCCCATATAAACGAATCTGTAGTCGTCGTTTAAATCAGGATTCGCGATGTAGTATTCGTTGAGCCAGTCGGACGCGAAGAACTCGGGTACGGTATACATCGGTGCGTTGGGAAATAACTTCGGGCAATGCCAGTCTTTCAGATATAACAGTGGCATGGATTTTGAATAAGGATCCTTCGCAAAATCTGTCCAGTATGCCAAGTAATCTCGCATTTTCATATCGTCCTTCGATTGCGAGTTATAATATTTTTTATTGCAATCTGCGACCGGCACCGTACAGTCACCTACAAACAATCATCAGAGGTCTGAACTTTATTTTATCTTCGAATGAATTTCATAAACGCGATTGATCAAGTGTAAACAAAAATGATCTTTGATTCTTTAAAAAGCAGTGATCAGTAGAGAAGTGTTATGAAAAAATTTTTAA